TTACTCTAATTTGTTAGATCATAGAATTGAACTATATATTACAATTAGAAATAAAAGAAACATAAGATAAAGATTAATTTTTAAACCTTTGAAAAAAGAAGGATATATTATGCAATTTATAAAAAATCATATCATTAAGGGTAATATAGTATTTTTAATAAAAAATGCATACAAGGCTTAGTCAATTAGGCTAAATTGAAAATCTCCCCATTATCAAGATACTGTTTGCTTTATCAATACTATTATCATCAAGAGTCTAGTTATTTTGAAAAAAAAAAAATTACTTTTTGAGAAATAAAATGGAACAAGGTAAATGATATGAAATATATAATCGCAAACAAACAAGATAAAAGATAATGAATTAATTGGTAGATGAATAAAGTATTTTATTCAATTGATTAATATGGACAAAACAAATATAATAATTGTGGCTACACAATTATTTTATATTTCAATAATACAAAACTTGTGAAAAGAGTAATATTTAAAAGGGTGCATGCCAATCCTAGAAATACTACAAAAATGAAAACAAAATAAAAAATCATGTAAAATAAAGGAACAATATTTTTCCGATAAAAACACGTGAAAAAATGAAAAAAAATATTTTCTAAAAAATTCAACCTAATTTGGGTCAAATAACTCAATAATATCCACATTGACACAAATTTCGATGCAAGGAACAAAGTTTCAAAATTTCTCCACCAGAAAAAATAAATTTGACTGCAACGAAAAATCCAAACTCTTCAACAAGAACCAAACTTTCTCTAACGTAAAAATACTCACCATCTTCCAGATATCCAACATGGATTCATGAATCCAAACATCGGGTTCTTCAAAATTCACAAAAAATTAGAAATTATCAAATAGTGTCGAAGCATACCGCGTAGTAGAATTAACTCTCAATACTTTTATAGAAGGCCCATGGCTAGTTTTAACAACTTCAAAAATACTAAAAGCATGTGCAACCGAATCAACATCCACATACCTATCTCCAATGGTTCTGTCCCTAGCAGTTGAATACGATGGAATAGCAGGTAATGGTGACAAAGCCAAATTACCCACATCATCCAAGCTCGACTGAATAATATTCTTCAATATGGACCCCAAACTAAATGAGATTCTTCTTCAAGTCTGGAATATGTCAAACGTGATCAAGTGCTCTACATGTTCATCCACAGCTTCAATCTGACTCTACTAATATCAGCTACCCGACAAGATTTGTTGTTACCCATGACAACGACACCTTGCGTCATTGTTTCATCAAACAAATCCCGATTGTGACGCATATAGAAAGCACAAACTGTATCCAAAATTCACCCCTCG